AATCAATAAATCTGTTGAATTGGCAGCACATGGCTAAGATCTGTTTGGTATTAAGGGAATAATACCTGGTGGCAGCGTGAAGTAAGGACACACATCCAGATGGTGGACTTGTGTTTAAGGCAAAATAAACAAAGGAACGGGGTGTACATCATAATGACTTTTACACTGCATAATGAAGGCTAGGCTAGAAAATGGTCAAATGAAGAACTATAATTACTTACTTCCTGGGTCAGATTTCTCTTACTGATTTCAACTTCTCTTTGAAGCTCCCTTCGCCTTTCTAACAGTGTTCCATCATCTTTAGGAACAGCATCTACCTTTAAAAAGAGAATCGGGCATAGCTAACATACACAAAAGAAACTACAGCATTTTAATATAGTAAGTACAGTAAAGTATCTTCTATAAATGGAAATGGAAACTAAGTAGTTCAAATTTTCCAAATTAAGCATGAATTCCCATTGCTTACAGTGCTAACTGAAAGCTGGCGTGGGGCATGAAGCGGTTCCAAAGAAGGTGTGAAACTATGGGGCGGGGAGGGGGAGGCACTCAATGGCAAGCTCAGATGAAACATTTAAAATATGGATATCTTGCATATTCTTATGTATGTATTTCAATCTTTCCACACATCCAATGCATGGGCTAAAAAAATAGTAGCTAATGTATAATGGGTTAGCATATCACAAATACAATAGTGTTAAAAAATTAAGAAAACAATCAATCATAAAACAGGCAGGAGCATGACGGTTTAGTGAAAACCAAGAGGGAGGGCATACGTTTAAAAGTCTGGGACCATTAGCTTGGAACAGAGGTAAAGGCAGATCCATGTGCCCCATGTCACCGCCCAGTTACCCAAATTTAATCTCTACAATCCTCCTCCCCCTTCAGCCCCCAACTGAAACTTAAAAGAATATTTGACAAGAAATCTTTTCCAAAAAACCCTCTTGTGCCCTATAAGGGGAGTGTGAGTCTATTTTGCCACATTTTGATGGTCTCAAAGGCCCGCACATCCCAGGATGTTGTTTTTTAATGGGGCTATTGAAGATATGAGGGGTGTGTGCAAAACATTTGAGAAATGGGGGTGCAAGAGCAGGTACAACCCTCCAAGGTCCAGTGGCAGGCATCTGCGGCTCTTGAATCTCCACAATTTGTCCATCTTCCATTTAGCATCAAGCTTCTTAAAGCAGTGGTCCCCAACCTTGGGCCTCCAGATGTTCTTGGACTACAACTCCCAGAAGCCTTCACCACCACCTCTGCTGGCCAGGATTTCTGGGAGTTGAAGTCCAAGAACATCTGGAGGCCCAAGGTTGGGGACCACTGTCTTAAAGGACAAAGTCTGGGGAAACAGCTGCAAATTTAGTTTGCAACTTACAATTACAACATGAAACTGTAATCTGAGGACGTTGTCTTGCCCTTTGAATATGCTATTATACAGCTTGAGGCCAGGCTCTCTGAGGGACCAGATTTCCCCACATGATGAAATGTATATATCTAATGATGTTTAGAAATTCTCCATATCTTGCTATTCTTCCACTTTTACTAATAACACTGTGGTGGGCTTTTTTGGCTCAAATACAGCAAGATCATATAAAATTTCCTCACAAAACAATCTTTGCCACTGTTGCTTGACATTCGACTGAAAGGGAATGGAAAGGGTTGTACGCAGTAAGCAATTTCACAAAGGAAATTAATCACTTGCCGCTATGCAAACGTAAAACAAATTGCTTAAGTTAGTAATTTAGATGGAGGAAGTATCCTGTCAGTTTCAGTTTCCGGATTCACTGAATGCTTATTTACCCAGTATTTTCCACATAATTTCAGGTCATGAGACAGCATGAGGAAACATGTCCCATCACACAGAGAAAAGGGACCACACAGCCCCTCAGCCCATCAACCTTAATATTCTTCTTCCTTTCAAAATCCTATACTTTAAGACCACCTGAAACCAGATTTCAGTAGGGTATGGGAAAGAAATCTCTATCTGAAAAGTGGCATTTACATGAAATTATCTTTATTCAGCTAATTGCCATAGCTTGTGAACTAAAATCTTTTTGCTTCTTTTGATTTTCTTTCTACTTCTGATTGCTGTGCTTCACATGCATCCTTTGAAACAGAACTAATTTTTGCTGAGCTTTTCCTTCCCTGCTCTTTTTTCTTCCTGTCTTTTCAGTTTTACTCTTCTGTCTCCCCCTCTTGGGCTTTGGCTTTATTTATATATTTAACTTCTGTGGAACTCCCTATTCATATCTGGAATGTCTGCTTTAACAGTTGGAATACCTCAAAAGGTTCTGTGGAAATCTGGAGGGGAGACAAGGAGAGAGGGAGGGACTGGAAAGATGTTCACAAGGAAAATACAAAAACCTGTTAACAACAACAGAAGCCCACACCCTTATTCATACAAACCTCTAATTGCATTCTTTCATGATGTGCTTTAACTTGATCCAAACTATCTTGGGTTATTTTCAACTGCATCTCCATCTTTTTAAAGTTTCTAAGGTCTCGTTCTTTCTCTCTTTGCATCCGACTCAAAGTATCTTGAAGTTTTTGCTTTGTTATGGCACAGTTGCGGAAACCCATTTCTAAAATACCTCTAAATACAAGAAGTGATTTGGTTGGTAGGTAGGTAGGTAAGAAGGAAGGAAGAAAAAAAGAAAGAAAGAATTTAATCTGAACATTGTAACCATTGGGATGATTTTACCAGCTGTGGAAATTTTTGGAATTTAAAGACCCCCCCCTCCCCAAGTTCCATAGGCCCCAATGGCTTCCCCATATGTGCCAACTCCCTATGGGGTTGAGGCTGGTGTCACTCTTGTTTCTTTGCCTCTTATTTAGGAACATTCAGTCTCACTATCTCCCCTGTCCAAGGATCCTCCTTGGGGATCCATTCGCACCCTTCTGGCAACTCAGGTGGAGGAGTACTTTCCTCTTCCCCTAATATCTCCTCCTCCTCCTTTGGTGGTATCTGAAGTCCCTCTTCCTCCAGGGGAAGGTCTATCTTCTCCCCTCTGATCTCTCTGTCTTCACCCTTCTCTTCAGCTGCCTCCTCACTAGTCTCTTCTCCTTCTCTCTTTCCTTACATTTTCTTCTTCTCCTTTTATCTCTATCTTCTCCTCCATCTCCTCCTCTGATTCCCATTCTTTTCCCAATCTTTGTATTGATCCTAGGCTGTCAGGCCTTGGGGGGGTGAACCTCCTTATGCTGTTCCTGTTTCTATCTCAATGGGGAAGTTAGAAGTTTCATACCCCTCTGTTTCTACGGGGAGAAGGACAGCACACTGAACGGGTGCTTCACTTTTCTATCCTCTTTCTCACACTGATATAGCATTAAAATCGTTCTGTTCAGGAAGACTTTTGGCATTTCATGGGCTTCATTAGCTTGTTTGACCATATCAGACTTTTTATATAAATGTTCTGATACAGTGAACTACTCCCATCAACCTCTACTGTGCCTTCGTTGCTCTTGTTCTCAGTTATTCTTGTTATCTTTATTGTAGGATTCTGGAGAGAGGCACATATGCTGTGTTAATTTATTGCAGCAAAATCAGCAAAAATGTCTTGGGCCGAGTTTTATTTGGCACAAATGCTTGTGGACTGCAGCCCTACTCATCAGATACATCTGACAATGTAGTATCCAGTCCATGGAAGCTTGCACAAAAAACACATTCTGACAGGACAGGATGGTTGCTTTGGGCAAATCCTAGAATATGTGGCTGATTGTGAGTTTGCTTGAAAGCCATCTAGAAGCTTTGGTCCAGAACATAAACTACTAGGATGTTTCACAGTGCTTTTTCTATTGAAGCACCCAGGCTCCAGAATTCCCTCTTCCCCGTAAAGGTCTATATGGCTAACTTGCTTCTTAGGAGCAGCTAAAATGATGGTTTTAAAGAATAGCTTGAGGCACCAATTAATGCCATTTGTTCCTTTAAAAAAGAAATCTGTTTTGATTGTTTTTAATTCTCTCATATGATAATTTCACATTGTTAATACTTTTATGTTGATGGTTTTACATATTACTTTTTAAGCCATCTTGAGACTTTTCTAACAGAGAGCCAGACAGAAATGTATCAATAATATAAGAATATACATTAATAAAATGCAACATTAACCTCTCTGCTATGGCACTTCCTTCATTCTCCTTGTTCATCTCATGCATTTTTGTAAGGGCAAAGAATTCCCTTTCTTTGCTCTCCAACAAAGCTTTCTTCCCATCTAGCTCCTTCATCACATTTTCCTTCTCTTCATTTATTTCATCATTTTTGGCCAGTACTTTTTTGAGGGTCTCCTGTACTTCTTGTGCTTCTTCCTGCTCCACCAGTTTCTTTTTCTCTACCTCTCTGTGGATAACGAAGATTCTAAAATTAATAAAAATTGACTTCTTTGTTCATTTATCATACCCCCCTTGCACTCTAAAATGGAGATTGTGAAAATTTATTTAAGACTTAGACCAAAAAATCATGTTTGGAAAATATGATACCACAAAAAAAAAAAGGGAAGGATGCCCCACACTGCATTTTCCACCCCACAAGGTTATGCTAGGAACCTGCACAGCCCTCCGTGCCCCTACTGGGCAGCAACTCATCTGGGGCCCCTATGAGAAGGATAGAGTGGGGAAGATTCTAGAAGAAGAGTCCAGTAAACCTAGATTTTTTTTAACTTTGATGCTGGCCAAAAAAATAACTCTTGCAGAGCTCATCAGAATACTAGCCCTTATGGCAGAGGTTAGGCATAGATGGCCTTCAAACCTTCCTGGATCACAACTCCTGATCATCCCTTGCCAGACCAGGGCCAAGGGGAACTACAGTCCAAAATATCCAGAGAGCAGTACACTGCCCTTGCCTGATTCCTGCCTTCTAATAAAAGCCTGGCATCATTATAGGAGTGACTCCTATAATGCCAAGTGACTCCTATAAAGCCAAGTGAAAGAAAAATAAAAAGCAACTCCAATTATGTTTCTGAAGTGTCAGGATTTCGAAGTGTTTTCTGTAGCTTTGAAATATATGGCTTGAAACTGTACATCATTTGATTGAACAATTAGAAATGTAGTAAGAGCTCTTGATAAGGCAAGCCAACCTTTCATAGAAGATAAGAATTCCTTTATATAGAAAGCCTGGCAGTTATCAACAGGGTCCTGTGAGAATCAACCCCAATAATAGATTATTTTTGATGGGATAGAATATATCTACCTGCTTCATTACCACAAAAACATCAGCTTCTGTGCTCAGCCTGTGCTACGTGTCTGATATGGGGTCCCTATCTCCTGGCTTTTTCCACTAGACAAAGCAGTACCACTGCTAAGGAAGAGAGCCTAACCACACATAACCACAATATTGTAGATCTGTATATTGTGATAGCAGTGCTAGGAAGTCACAGACAGATGAGTGCGTACACTTGGGGAATCATATGTAAATAATAACTGGCTTGAATCCACGTATTACATACATTCAAGGAGATGAGAGCTGGCTTAAGAGAAGTGTGTACTGGGTTACTAGAAATAAGCATCATATACATTAAAAAACATACTGCATTCTGCGGTGTATTTTCTCCATATCTTTTCCAAGCTGAATAGGAATTGATTGGACACGGACTAACTCATCCTAGGGATATAAACATCATTGTTAATTTCCAGAATAGGCATCATGAAATGCTAGGCAACCATTATTTAAATTCAGTAATTATTATTGAGGAAAGGGACGGAACAAAGAGTGTACTGTAAAAATGTGTATTATAAATGTTTATACGAACTTTTCTTGTAATTTGTTCTGGCATTCTCTCTATGGGTGTATACTGTATATATACTGTAAAGTATTTTCTGACTCATGGCAATCCTAATAAAATTTTATCTATATATGGTATATTTATGGAGTGGTTTTACCATTGCCACCCCACTGTGAGTTTCCATGGCCAAGTGGGGATTTCAAGTTCTGTCTACTACAACACACTTGTCTCTCCATACCCTAAAAATCTAACCAACAAATAATTCTAATAGAAATAACAGATATATACAGGCACAACATTAGATAGAATTCTGTAATAAGTGCTGCTTTACTCTAATTTCTTCTTGCTTCCGAAGAAGTTCATTAATTTCCTTCTGTTCCTTTGTGAGATGTTTTTGTCTTGATGACATAGCCTCTTTCAGTGCTCTGATTTCTTGCCTTCTTTGTCCGATTTCTTTACGGAGCACTTCACAACTTTCTCTTAGGGCCTTCATTCTCTTATCTGAATCCTTTGGGAGGAAAAAAAAGGGAATTCTATTCTGACTCAAAAGTAGAAAAACTTGGGGAGAAAGAGCTTAACTCAGGAAATGCAACGGTCAAAAAGTTGGCTACTGCTACTATTGTAAGTATCATATCTTCCGAAACTAGAGATCTGGAACTCTACAAAAAAATACTTTAAGCAATATGATCTTGAAGACAGATAAAAGACATCTGCTCCTGAAGCTAAAATTTTAATGTACAGTGGTGCCTCGCTTAACGAGCACCTCGCTGAGCGATGAAATCGCTTAACGAGGGGCTCTGGGCCATCGCTGGAGCATTCGCTCAGCGATGGCCCCTATGGCGTTTTTTCGCTTTGCGATATTCGCTAAGCGATTCGCTTAGCGAATATCGCATAACGAAGCGGGGGAGAACAGCTGATCGGCAGTTCCAAAATGGCCGCCGGAAGGTCCGCGCCGCATTTTCGCGTCCTGCCCTCGCTTACCGAGGGCGTGAAAATGGCGGCGCTATGGAGGAACATCGCTTAACGGTGAGTTTTAAAGCCATAGGAATGCATTGAACAAAGTTCAATGCGTTTCTATGGCTTTTTAAATTCCGTTTAGCTATGTTTGTATGCGAGGCACCACTGTACTTTTAAAATGTATTTTGTCTGTATCATATTATTTCATTTTCTAGACCACTGACTCCAAACTAGGTCTCACAATTAATACTGACATCCTACTTACAGAGGCTTTGGGGATTCTATGGTATTCCTTTTCAACGAGTTTCTTCTCTTCTAGTAAACTAAAGAGAAATAATCAGTTTAAAAGAAAATTCAGCTCATATTGTCAATGAGGTGATTCAGCAGCAAACATTTGCAGGCATATCACCTTCAAGTACTTAAAGATTTAAGTACTTATTAAGAAAATAAAAAAAGCCTGAAATGAAAGGCTTTATTTGTTTTATTAGCATAAATTTTTATAATAAAGTCAAAAGTCCACATTCATACTTATCTATAGTTCCCATCATTACCTGGGAGTACAATCAATAAAACAAGCTGAAACAATTTGAAACATATTAAAAATGTTGACATTTCGTACAAAACAGGGAGTTGATAGACACATATAGAACAAACAAACAAGCAAACAAAAAAGCCAGGTTTTAAATGTGGTACTGAAACAGAATACAGGACGGAAAACAAGACAGTGCTATGCCAAATCAGTGGCAGCCCTATGCAAACAGAAGTAGGATTAATTCTCAAAATCTGCAGTTACCAAAGTTAGCCTCCTTCACAGCAGTACATCTGAATGTAACTTTTTATATTTTTCTACATATTATCAAGGTCACCTTCCATTTTTTAAAGTGCTAGTCCTCAACAATATGGACAAAGGTGCACACTCTTCCAAAGATGTTCCATGTACATACCCCTCTTCCACAAACATTCCATACGTCGTAAGGATGGGGATTTTGCTACTTCATTTATGTAGCCTTTAATGCTAATTATCAACTGTTCTATCCCTACTAAGCTTTTCAGTGTTAGAGTTGAATCTTCAAATTTTAGTACATTTTCTGCAGGTGTGTTTATAACACACAAACGAAACTAAAAGAGTACACTAACAGACAACAAACACATTCCAGTGTTACAGTACTGTAAGCATCAGAAAGTAGATGTTGCTGACATCACCAACCTAAGGGTGTTTCCAGATAAGTTTGTGTGCCTGTGTACACGTGTGCATGTGCTTGCACACATGTGTGCAGTTGTCTTGCCTCATGCATGGAACATTACAAGGGCCCAATGACAATTGTCTTCTATTGGCAGCCCCCATTTTTTTCCAATTCCTTCATGCAAATATTTTTTAAAAACTCTGTTAAGGAAAAAAAGGTAATAACTGCAGAATACCTTTTGCTAGGCAGCTAAAGGTTTAAAGGCTTTCCTTTGTGTCCCAGTATTTGGAACAAAATATCATTTGCAGACCCAAGGGGCGGGGTCTTTCTTTGCTGTAATAGCCTGGATGGGAATGTCCTCCCCTTGGAGGCCTAACTGGCATTGTCATTGCCTTTATTTCCACATCAAAGTTTGTTGGTTCTATATGCATCTATCAGCTTGCTGTTTTGTTTGAATTGTCAACATGTTTTTAATATGTTCCAAATTGTTAAAATTTTAGATTGCTTGACCATACTCTGCTCTGAGGTTTGCTGATATACTGAGAAATACTTTAATTAATTAATTAATAGGCTACAGTGACTTCATCTACAGAAGGACAACACCTCATTCATCAATCAGGTGGATCCCTCTCTGTTTCTTTTTCTATCTTTCTTTGCAGCTTCACTGACCGATAGATGTCAGACTTCTGGCAATCTGGAATAATCCTCTGGTTTGACATATAAACAATGACTCATAATATCTACCTGTTCAACTTGTACTGAATTTCAAACTCTCTCTCTTGAATAGCTCTGTATTCATTCTGGTATCTCAGGTACTGCTGTCTCAGTTTGGACACCTCTGAAGTGGCGTCCTCTGGAAACTGTTCAGCTTTTTCTATTTCCTGCTGCTGCTGTTCTAGTTCAACAGTGAAACGTTTGGCATCCTGTAACAGCTGAATCTCTGATTCCTGCAAACTTGAATAAAAGAAATCACATTGGTAACTCCATCCTAAACACTCACTCACTCACTCACTCACTCACTCACACACACACACACAGAAAGAGAGAGAGAGAGAGAGAGAGAGAGAGAGAGAGAGAGAGAGAGAGAGAGAGAGAGAGAGAGAGAGAGAGAGAGAGAGAGAGAGAGAGAGAGAGAGAGAGAGAGCTTACAACAACGAAAAACTATATTTAAAGTTGAAAACAATGAGTATACAACAGTAGTTGACATCATTAAAAGACAACACGGAGGCATCTTACATCAGTTAACAGGCAATATAAAGGCAAGGATTAATAAATAAACCAAAATTTAAAAATATCATTCTGACAAACGGGAAACACAAAAATGGAAAACACAAGGAGCACTAACAATCCAGACAAAGCAGTAATGCATAAATATATGATCACAGGATAATTTTGTATGTTCATCTTACTGTCATTTCATAGACTGGAATCTTAAGACAAAAATTAGTGGGTTTTTTTGTGGTGAGGTGTGTTTTTCTGGGTGGATTTTTTTTAAAAAAATGGAATATATAAACACTCTCTTTGTAAATACGCAGGTCAAAGGTGGTTTCACCGATAATAATGAATGTGTGTGTGTGTGTGTGTGTGTGTATGTATATGTATATGTATATGTACGTAGGTATGTAGGTATGTATGTATATGCATCTCTCTCACACACATACACACACTGCTTTTTAAAATAACTTATGTAAACAAGTAATACATGATTGCTTATAGTGGCTTAAAATCCTACCTTATTAAAGTGTCATGTAGGAGGGTATACTTTGCTTTCAGTTCAGCTACTCTGGTTCCAGGGATATTTCCCGCATAAAACAACTACAAAATGACGAAAAAGATCATTAGTAGTCACTTAAATATTTATGCTTTGTAAGAATTTTCACTGTCCTTAGGCAATATTCCCACAAAGTACCTGTTTAGGATTATTGATTTCACTATTTGTGATATCAAGGTAAATATTAAGGTACATTCTCAATAATTTCAAAGCTGAGTTCTGCTAACAAAATACTAGGTAATATTTTAATATTTTCTCAAAAGAACCCAGTTACAATTTAGACCATTCTAAAATTTAAATCCCAACACTTAACATCTATGGCAATCCCAATGGGTTTGTACAAACTCGTGAGATAACGGATAGAACTGGACACCAAGTTATCTTTGTGGTACTGGAATAAACATTGACAACTGTGTTCTAAAAAAGTATGAAGTTTCACTCTCAACTTGTGCCATCAGAGTATTTGCATAAAATGGTAAAGTTGTCTTAGGTTGCAGTCCCAAACACTTATATGGAAGTGAGTCTGCTTTTGCCAAGCACAGAGTGGGGCTAACTTTTGAGCAAACACGCATAGAATTGCACTCCACACACGTTAAAAAGCATTTTGTATTTCATTAAACAAGAATTCTAATACATACCCAGCAATATGCAGCTGAATTTATACTTTGCATTCTGAGGATTTTTATTTTTAAAATCATGGAATTTAACATATATCACCATCACCTATTAATGTATATCAATCTGCAATTAAAGGCTTTTTCAGAAAACACAGCATTCCATGGCAAGTTGTAGATTTGCCACTGAACTCACTTACTACAGGAATCCTGCAAATGGTATAACCATAGGCTACTCCTGACTGGGTTTGGGATGAGGTTCCCCCTCAACAAATTCAGGAAGCTTGTTGCTAATTAGGGTCAAATTACATGTGACATATAAAAGCCATGGTTGATTACTCTACCTTCTTTCAAAAAATGTTTGACATAGAGGGGATTCAAAGTAAGGCTGTGTGACATACAAAAAAGGGTTAAACATTCCCCCTTCCTATTCAATGCCCATCAACACCCTGGAGATGTTATCTGTCCAAAACAGGGAAATATACAATCATGTAGTATGTGCTGAAAAAGCAACAACAAATGAAAGCTAAGAGTGAGAGACATTTTGCAATTAGGAACTGGTACAAGGAGAAGTTATGCTCCTGCTTCCATGCCCAAGTTCTGAGTGAAGACCCACCCACATGCACAGTACTTTTAGCAAAAGAAAAAGATGGTAGGAGATATAGTCACAGATCTCTTATATTATGTTGTTTGGTCATTCAAGTGTGGTGGTGTGGGTAGAGTGATGGACTACGATCTTGGAGAACTGGATTCGAATCTCCACTTTGCCATGGAAAAATGGGAAAGCGGGGATGGAACTGGTAAATCCACTCCTTAAATATCTCACTTACCTTGAAAGCCCTGTTAGGATTCCTATAAATTGGTTTTCACTTGACAAGACAGAACACAATAAACAGGTAAATAAACAGTGAGGGTGATTCACATATTTGGGAACCCTTTTGACATTAAAAGAGCTGAGAGATGTGAAAAGGAATGTCTTAACATTTTCAATGAAAATTTGCAAAGCTACCAGCTAAACGCCCTTCATGGAGTGCTGCCTTGTCATGGGAAAGGGGCTTGAGTAATTCAGAGAAGATATGGGCTATGCCGTGCAGGGACACCCAAGACGGACAGGTCATAGTGAAGAGTTTTGACTAAAAGTGATCCACCTAGAGCAGGAACGGGCAAGCCACTCCAATATCTTGGCCAAGAAAACTCCATGGACAGAATCAAAAGGCTAAAAGATATGATGCTGGAAAATGAGCCCCTCAGGGCGGAAGGCATCCAACATGCTACTGAAGAAGAGCGGAGGACAAGTAGTTCCAGAGCTAATGAAGTGGTTGGGCCAAAGCTGAAAGGACGCTCAGCTGCAGACATGCACGGAAGTGAAAGGAACGTCTAATGCTACAAAGAAAAATACTGCATAGGAAGCTGGAATGTAAGATCTATGAACCTTGGGAAGCTGGAGGTGGTCAAACAGGAGATGGCAAGAATAAACATTGACATCCTGGGCGTCAGTGAACTAAAATGGATGGGAATGGGCGAACTCAATTCAGATGATTATCATATCTACTATTGTGGGCAAGAATCCCGTAGAAGAAATGAAGTAGCCCTCATAGTCAACAAAAGAGTGGGAAAAGCTGTACGGGGATATAATCTCAAAAATGATAGAATAATTTCAATACAAATCCAAGGCAGACCTTTCAACATCACAGTAATCCAGGTTTATGCACCGACCACCAATGCTGAGGAGGTGGAAATTGACCAATTCTATGAAAACTTACAACACCTTCTAGAACTGACACCAAAGAAAGATGTTCTTCTCATTATAGGGGACTGGAATGCTAAAGTAGGGAGTCAAGAGATAAAAGGAACAACTGGAAAGTTTGGCCTTAGAGTTTGTAGTGTTCACCCTTTGTTAGGAATAAGTCATGTATTATTCATGTTCTATGCAAATGTGGTGGAGAGGCAGAGATAAGAGAGAGGTTAAAAGGCGGAGCCTGAGAGGAGGAGAGTCAGTCAAGAGTCAGAGAGAGAAGGAAGAGATATTAATAGAGCTAAGCTGGTTAAGATAAATAGATAGAGAAGGTGGTAATTAATTATCTGGCAAGAAGAAAGTATGTATAGAGAGACCTGTGAATGATTTGCTTGTGTACAATGAACATCTGAAGAACATCTGTGATTATTATTAACTTTGCTACACTTCAATAACTAAGTTCTGTTTGCATTTACCAGACGAGTGTTTGGACAAATGTCTTTTATCGTGTGGATAGAGGTAATCCACTGGTGGCAGTGAGGGAAACAAAGACTGGAACCTTTGTGAGGGCACAAAAAGTAGGTGCTTCATAGAGTTGAACGTCATAGAGTTCAAAATGAAGCAGGGCAAAGGCTAATAGAGTTTTGTTAAGAGAACAAGATGGTCATCAAAAATACTATTTTCCAACAACACAAGAGGCGACTCTACACATGGACATCACCAGATGGGCAATACCAAAATCAGATTGATTATGTTCTGTGCTGCCAAAGATGGAGAGCTCTATAGTACAGTCAGTAAAAACAAGACCTGGAGCTGATTGTGGCTCTGATCATCAGTTTCTTATAGCAAAATTCAAGCTTAAACTGAAGAAAGTAGGAAAAACCACTAAGCTAGTCAGGTACAATCCAAACCAAATCCTTTATGAATACACAGTGGAAGTGAAGAACAGATTTAAAGATCTCGATTTGGTGGACAGAGTGTTTGAAGAACTATGGATGGAGGCTCGTAACACTGTGCAGGAGGCAGCAACAAAAACCATCCCAAAGAAAAGGAAATGAAGAAAGCAAAGTGGCTGTCCAAGGAGGCCCTCACAAATAGCAGAGAAGGGAAACTTCCAGGCCAAACTTTCCTGTTGATCCTTTTATCTCTTGACTCCCGACTTTAGCATTCCAATCCCCTAGAATGAGAAGAACATCTTTCTTTGGTGTCAGTTCTAGAAGGTGCTGTAATTTCAGCTTCTTCAGCATCGGTGGTTGGTGCATAAACGTCGATTACTGTGATGTTGAAAGGTCTGCCTTGGATTTGTGTTGAAATCATTCTATAATTTTTGTGATTGTATTCCAGTACAGCTTTTCCCACTCTTTTGTTGACTATGAGGGCTACTTCATTTCTTCTACGGGATTCTTGCCCACAATAGTAGATATGATAATCATCTGAATTGAGTTCGCCCATTCCCATCCATTTTAGTTCACTGACGCCCAGGATGTCAATGTTTATTCTTGCCATCTCCTGTTTGACCACCTCCAGCTTCCCAAGGTTCATAGATCTTACATTCCAGCTTCCTATGCAGTATTTTTCTTT